AATCAGGAAAGAGATAACTACTTCCCCCTTTCTCCATTCCTCTCTGTTCCTTCTTGGCTGTGCTACAGAGCAGACGCCATGTGCTATCTTGGTGAATCATGTTACACTTTGTTGCTTCCTTTTCTTCCTTGGTGGATGTGATGTTTGACTTGCAGCAGTGAGCCATTACTAGATGTGAAGGCCTAACCATGGGTGAGATCAAACGTGTGGGGAAGGGGATTACTATACAGATAGATTTAAAAAGGGTTGTTGCTCCGTGGGTCTGGGCTGTGTGTTTGTGATACATTTATAGTATTGTGTTGTTGCCTTTTAATAAATACCTTTTAATGTAGACGAACCTTGTGTAATATATATATTAATTTGGTGATACACCACACAAGGCTGTTTGGGTATACAGGTAAAGGCTCATTTTGCTGCCCCCCCCTCCAACAAATGCATCTTCACCTGTGTCTCTTACCCCCTCTTTGTTTTTCTATTCTCTTTTGTGTTCCTTTTCCCCTCTTTTGTGTCATACACCACCATTTACTGTATCTTATCCACCACTTATCACCTTTGTGTGTCTCTTACAACCCACACTACTTTGTCTCTCACTTCTTACTAGCCCCGTTATGTGTCTCTTTCTCAACTAGGCCCATTTTGCTCTACTGCAGCCCACTTTTTGCTGTTTTTCATTTAATACTTATTGATCTTAATGTTGTGTTACATTTAAATACAGAGTATCAAAAAAAATCTAATTTTTCCTTTGAAACATGAGATATAATATGTATGGGTACACTTAAACAGAAGGGTGAGATTGTAGTGGAATCAATACATGTTAAAAATGCCAAAAAGGTCTTGGTCACAAACACATCACATCTCAAAATAGCATTGGTCCTTATAAAGTTAAAAGTACAGAAATATGTTATGTTTGTACACCATTGTCTTAATTTCCTTTCACTTATAAAGTAAGCAAAATACATATTACATAATTTGGCACTAGTTAATAAAATAAAGGATTTTTTTTTTTAAATTTAAACATATCCTTAGACATTTTGATCTGAACGCCACTTTTTCCTAATTGTCTTTTTCCAACTGCAATTTGAGAGACTTTTTCTCTTCTTTCTGAAATGTCTCTCTAGTTTAGTGACACGTGTAAATGGAAGGTATGCGATACTTCAAACAATTGTCTTTGATGCTTTCAATTGTGTTTCATCCCATGTTCAACCAAGAGAATGACTGACATGTAACCTTATCTGTGATCTGTATTTAGAAACGTGGGGCTTGTATTGTTATGCCTCACATCTATAAGAGAAAACTCTAAAAGTAAAAGGTAATCACTCTTCTTTTTTCATTTCTTTCAGGGAACGCCTTTGTAGTAAGCTTGGCATTTGCAGACCTAGTGGTGGCCTTGTATCCCTACCCATTAGTACTTGTGGCTATTTTTAAAAACGGATGGGTCCTAGGAGACACACATTGCCGAGTGAGTGGCTTTGTCATGGGCCTGAGCGTGATTGGGTCGATCTTCAACATCACCGGAATTGCTATCAACAGATATTGCTACATCTGCCACAGTTTTGTCTATGACAAGCTATTCAGTACTTGGAATACAATATGTTATGTCTGCTTAATCTGGGGATTAACTGTGTTGGCAACGGTTCCAAACTTTTTCATTGGGTCCTTAGAATATGATCCCCGTATCTATTCATGTACATTTGTTCAAACTGTGAGTTCATCCTATACCATTACCGTAGTCGTTATTCACTTCATCGTGCCGATCACGGTGGTTACCTTCTGCTATCTTCGGATCTGGATTTTGGTGATTCAAGTAAGAAGAAAGGTCAAGTCTGAAACCAAACCAAGGATGAAGCAAAGTGATTTCCGAAACTTTCTGACAATGTTTGTTGTGTTTGTTATCTTTGCTTTTTGTTGGGCACCCCTGAACTTTATCGGCCTGGCAGTGGCCATCAACCCATTAAAAATAGCCCCCCAAATCCCAGAGTGGCTATTTGTGCTGAGCTACTTCATGGCCTATTTTAATAGTTCCCTTAATGCAATAATATATGGACTCCTTAATCAAAATTTCCGTAAGGAATATAAACGAATTCTCATGTCACTGTGGATGCCACGACTTTTCTTTCAGGAAATATCCCGAGGCGGGACCGAATGCCCAAAAAGCAAACCTTCCCCAGCTTTAAATAACAATGAACAGCTAAAAACAGACACTGTCTAAATCTACTGACAAACTGTAACACAATACCACTGGGTATACAAGTCAAGATATGTTGAATTTCCAGCTGCGTGAACAAAACTTAACAAAACACCGTTCATTTGGTGCTTATTCGAAAATAATATTTTAGTAAAAAAAAAAAAAAATTACAAAAATACATTGAATTAAATATTTCTTTACAGTATGGGATTGAAAAATGAATGTATCAAAGTTCACACTATTTATTTTTTTACACAAGATATATATTATTTTGCATCAAATTAAATACGGAAATGAATGATTTATAATTCAACAATGTTTTCATTTATATTTTTCATGTGTATAAAAAAATAAAATAAAGCAGTGACAGTATTTTCAGGTTGATTGTATTCCAGAGGCAATATATTCTTATTTTGGAATAATATTGCCATTTCTTCCGACACACATTATTCTCTAACTCTAGCACACAGCTGGCCCAAGAGTGTCATTTTAAGGTGAACAAGTTTATACAATAAAATATAGCAAAGGCAGGTGTGGGTCGACACAAGGTACCCATGAAGACCCTCTCAGACTGAAAAAAATGTTTCACTAAAATACGTGACATGTAGTAGTTCACATAAAAATGTGGGAAATGTGACACCCTTCACACATTTAATTCCTACAAAAGGCACTTAAAGGGGAACTGCCACTTCTAGGGATTTTTTATTTTATTTTTATTTTCCCCCTATATTTTATAAATATGTATTTGTGAGGTGTGAAAAATAAAATTAAATCTAAAGAGCCACACCTGTTTATCCTGCAACTAGGAGTCCCCATTTAAACCTCCTGTTAATCATTGTTTAAGGTCTGCATCTGATAGTTCTCATAGAGAGAGCACACAGAGAAGGGGGTAAATAATGTTTATATTTATCTACATTATTTGCAATGTGTTGATGTCACAGAGTAGGTTTGCCCTAACCAGGGATATGTCAAATACTTGCATTTCACATATCTCCTTTTTTTTTTAAGATTTTTTTTTTTTTTTTATAAAACTACATTTATTTTTTGAGGGGTTCATTTAAGTGGTCATTAGACGCCTTGTTTCTTTGCTGTATCAAGGAGTGAAAAGATCCCTTTGGTAGGGGATCTCCGGGTCTACCAGTGAGAATTGTCCCGCTGTGTCCTGGATTCTTCAAGGAACATTCCACTGCCCAAATGGCCAAAAAACTGTTTAATAGATATACCCCAAATTAAAACATACATGAATTTTCATGCAAGTATATCTTAAAAGAGCATGCAAAAGCCCACCCCTTCTTCCCCTTAAGAAACTTTTAGTCTTTTCACAGGGAAATAGCCTACCAGAGGCTGCCTGTGTGCGTGCGCGTTCACCTGCTGTGTGCCTGCACTTACTGTATTCTGATCTCAAGTCTGTAGATGCTACTCTGAGGTCTGACCTGAGGTTTGAGGGGAATAGGCGCACCTATTCCCCTCATTAATCATTTACAAAAGTGCTGACTTCTCATAGAAATAGGCACTTTTATTATCATTATTATAGGATACTCATCATACATTAAACGCGTGAGCATGCTGAATTGCTTTACGGGTGCGGAGTGGTCTTTTAAGGCCACTATTTTGGCGCATCTGATAGGGTGACTATTCCACTGTACCATCAGACAAGTATATATTTTTTGATTCTCTTTTGGTTTTCTCAAGAGCATAAAAGCAAAATGTAGCTGAAAGGTGGCCCATGCTAGATGCACGTCCCACTTTGTAAATATCTGACTATAACAAGATAAGAGCTAAAAAAAAACGAAAAATGTGCAGTCAGATATGGCGTATATTGAGCAGAAAGCACAAACAGCACATAGGAGTTCAGTTCATGTACCTTGATCAATGCCAAAATTCCTGATAATTTAGTACTGTGTGCATCAAAGCCAAATAAATATTTTAAGTCTTTTGTTTAGGGATTTTTTCTCATCAAGAATAATTAAAATTAAAAGGGGGATTTCTATTGATTCATGATTGTTTTATATTAGAAGAATGGATGCATGTTCTGTCCTATCTGAATAATACCTATCTGGATAATAGTGCATTACCAATTATAGATATGCTTTTATTACAAAAGAAGAAAAAAAGAGACTGAAAATATGATTGCATGCAATTCAAAGGTTAACGACAAAAGTATTCAAGACAAAACGCGTAACTTTGCTAGGTGAAAATGGATGGCATTAAATTCAACCATAAGGCATGATGTTATAAACCCATTAAGTTTTTTCACTAAATCTTAGTTTTCTTTCATTTCGTTTTGTTTTTTTATGACCCACATTTGATCCCTAATAATTTTTCAGAGAACGAAACAAAGGGATATTTTCACTAACCTGTGAATTGCTGAGAATCGAGAAGAGGACTGTGCAGCTGAGGTCACAATGGTTGAGTTGGAAAAATGTTTCAATTAAAGCTGTTATTCTTGCTCTGTTATTTTGACCTTAGTTTTCAATTTTACAAAAAATATACAAAGAGAGAGATAAAGAGAGATATCCAAAAATGGCAAAAAGTAAGACACACAGATAAAAGAGGAAATTCAACGAGTTCATTCAACACTCCAAGCACCATAACCACTAAAAGGGATCAACAGACCAACTAGCTTGGGCAGACTAGATGGGCCGAATGGTTCTTATCTGCCGTCACATTCTATGTTTCTATGTTTCTATGTTTAGAGTCATACACCTTGAACAGACAAAGAGTGAGATGTCCCTAGCATCACTTCAGTCCCAAAATATACAGTTCAAGTCAGTGCTGCCATTAAAACACTCCAGGCACCATAACCACTGAAAGGGATCAACAGACCAACTATTTCTTTAGCCGACAGCGTCCGTTGATAACTTTCAGGCCTAGCTCAGACATCGAGTTTCTGGCTGTCCGTAGGCTGTATTAGAGACAGGAGCAGCATGCACCCAGGTAAGTAGTCGAACTGTTTTAAATGGTTTAACTACTTACATCAGGGTGGCACCAGGGCACTCCAAGCACCATAACCACTACACTGTAGGGCCTAGATCATGAGATATTATTGAAGATTCTAACCAGTAGCTTTGGCTCTCTGTCAGCTGTAGGTGAGAGGCACAGCACGACAGAACCATAGTAAGAAGTCAATCCGTTCTATAATAGTTTTGCTACTTACAATGAGACGCTCCAGGGAACACCTGACACCATAACCACTACAGCACAGTGAAGCATTTTTGGTATTGAAAGTGTTCCTTTATTGAATGGAAAAACTGTGAAATGTACAATTTTAGGCAGGGACCATTAATTACAGAATTATACTTGCAATGATTTTGTTTATAACTGAACACATTTGGTTTATTTTAAATTTCGGATTTAAATGTTTTATAGAAACTACCTTAAAATTAATTTTGAAATGTATTTTATTAATGTATTAATCGTGAATGATTTACTTATTACTCGTTATTAAATGATTATTGGTTAACAGTAATACAAAAAAGAAAAATACAATTGCGGGTAAAGAAGAAAATGAACAGGGATACAGTTTGAATATAATTTTAAAATGTTCTGCCATTTTTAATCAAATACAGTTATGTAATTTTTCTGTACAAACACGTTAAAATGTATTTATTCCACATTTTTAAGATTAAAATATTTTCAACTTTTCAAAACGTGTAAGTTACTTTCATTTGTTTTAATATGAAAAACAATACACATGTTAAAATTATTTTATGTTTATTAAAAGAACAGATGAAATTTAATGTTGAAAAATGCAAAGTTATGCACTTCGTCGTAAAGAATACACAAGAACGTATACCCTTAATGGAAGCGAATTAGGGATAACAACACACGAAAAGGACTTGGGAATTGTTATAGACAACAAACTATGCAACAATGTGCAATGTCAATCAGCAGTGGCTAAGGCCAGTAAGGTATTGTCATGCATGAAAAAGGGCATTCATTCTCGGGATGAGAATATCATTTTGCCTCTTTATAAATCACTGTTAAGACCACATATTGAATATGCTGTGCAATTTTGGGCACCTGTTCTAAAGAAGGATATTATGGCACTAGAAAAAGTGCAGAGGTGGGCTACAAAATTAATAAAAGGAATGGAACATATCAGCTATGAAGAAAGGTTAACAAATTTAAACATATTTAGTTTAGAAAAAGGTTGCCTGAGAGGCCATATGAAAACATTATACAAATATATTCGAGGCCAATACAAACCATTGTGTGGAAATCTATTCACAAACCGGACTTTACATAGGACACGAGGTCATGCGTTTAGACTGGAAGAAAGAAGATTTCGTTTAAGGCAAAGGAAAGGTTTTTTTACTGTAAGAACAATAAGGATGTGGAATTCTCTGCCTGAATAAGTGGTTTTATCAGAGTCCAAACAGATGTTCAAACAGCTACTAGATGCATTCTTGCAAAAACAGAATATTCAAGGATATAATCTTTCAATGTAGGGTAATAACTGCTTGATCCAAGGATAAATCTGACTGCCATTCTGGGTCAAGAAGGAATTTTTTTCCTAGCTTGTTGCAAAATTGTGCTTCAAACTGGGTTTTTTGCCTTCTTTTGGATCAACAGCAAAAAACAAATGTGAGGAAGGCTGAACTTGATGGACGCAAGTCTCTTTTCAGCTATGTAACTATGTAACACTGTATCATTAGGAATATATATCTATATGCTACAGCCTTGACACCAAAGCATGCTAAAGTCTGTAATAAATTAGGCCCTCTCTCGATTGTGTGGTGGTCCTCAAGCACGCATGCAAGATGACGGGCCAATATAATTCTCATAGAGGAGCATTGGGGAACTAAGGTACATGCGCGGTGCTCATAGCAATATGCCTAAGATTCAGCCATACTGAATCATTAAATGTAATGATTCTCTATGGCTGACTGTGATGGCACTGCCCATGTGCGTGTGAGATCGCGATATGTTACCATATAAGAGTCGATATGTAAGATTCCTGGCTCTCATACCTAGAGGGCTTGGACTCGTGGCTTGAAGGAGCATTTCCAAGCCCTCTAATTAGAAAACTAAAAATGTTATGGGGTGCAGGACTGCAGGCACTATAACAACTTTAAAATAATGAAGTTGTTAAAGTGACTACATTGTCCCTTTGAATTAGATACTTTTTTCAGACATAAATAAAAATGAGAAAAAATTAAATAAGTCAGATTTATTCACTATGTGGGATTGTACAGAGCTACGGAATCTGATGGCGCTATATAAATAATAAAATAATAATAATAATAATAATATAATAGTTTGACAAAAGAATTGCAACCAACACAATGGCAGAAATGGGAAAACAGCTGGCTTTGGAAATGTTTCAAGTTTTGCTGTTTGACCTCCACTTTCAGTTATCCACAATTCACAGTTTAGTAAATGAACCTGCCTCTCAGAGTTATTCACTAAACAGGGAATTGCCGTAACTTGCTCATGTAAGTCAAAACTAGCTGAGCTTGAAACATAGCTAAATATGGATAAAAGTAAACAATTTTAATAACAATACGATAAAATGCATGAGAAATGGTTAGATACTGCTTACAATGTATAGATTAGTGAGATTTATGTGGGCAGAGAGGCTCCGCTACTCACAAGCGCTCTATGTCAAATGTCCAGACGATTGCAGCAGTCTGCAGAAATAGTCTCAGAAGTCCTACCGGATGGTGCAATAGTATGAGTCCGGAGGTGATTCTGGCTATGTCCGTGTCCCTCAGCTGTGGTCACGATGAGCCGATAAGCCGGGTTAACATTTTTCAAAATATGTAGTATACAGTCATAGATTGTGGCATAGAAACCGTTGGATTTATGGTACAAATAATCACGAGATGTTAAATTCCAGTTATGCAGGATGTAAAATATGCATATAAAATATATGTAAAAAATAAAAAATAAAAAATAAAAAAATAATATATATATATATATATATATATATATGTATATATAGACATGGTCTACATTTCAGAGACCACCATAACAGTGATCCCTCTCAGTTACGCTTTAAAGGCATTCAAAAAATACACTGTGATTGGAGAGGTGGCGACTTTAATCAAAAAATGGGAAGGGTGGAGATGAAAATGATATATGAATTTGACACTTTGATTCCAAATGGCATGAATAAAGACTTTGAATTGTGCCATTTTTTTATAGCCATTTTTTATAATGATTTTTTCATAATGATTTTTAAAATGTCTTAGAATATATTTGTTTCATTGATAGAGTTTTTTACATATATATGTATGTGTTTTTTGTCTCTCTCTCTCTATATATATATATAGTTTTATTTTTTTATTTTTTTATTTTTTATTTTTTACACATATTTTATATGCATATTTTACATCCTGCATCACTGGAATTTAACATCTCATGATTATTTGTACCATAAATCCATTACATCTCCGTTGCTCCTATTTAATTTTGAGATATATATACGGTTGCACTTTATTTGTTTTTTCCTATTCTGCACATGTTATATTGACAAACAGTTTCTATGGCACAATCTATGACTGTATACTACATATTTTGAAAAATGTTAACTCAGTCTGGTGTTACATTTTTTAAGTATCTTCTATGATATATTTTTAACATCTACTCTTTTTTTCTCCCCTTTAACAACAAAATGCTATTGTACTAACTTATATTTTTATTTGTGAGTTAAACATCTGTATTTCCTGCTCAATGTTGATTTTTTATTGATTTTTTCTTTTTTCTTTATTGATTAGACATGCATATTGCCAAAGCTGTTTGTATTATACATCATTGTATGGCTATTTTTTTAAATTGTTTTAAACCTCCAATACATAACTGCATACAGGTGAAAAGTTGATTCCTTGTTTATTTTTAAGAGGCTGGACTATGTATTTGTAATTAGTGGCAACATTTGAGGGCGGAACTATTATTGTCCATATATGTTCCCCCGCTGCTAGTCGAGACTATATCACTTACCTACTGAAGAAGCCGGAAGGCGAAACACGTCCACATGAGCACGCACTGACGTCATTAAGGTGGGCGGCACCTACATACCCCGCGACCGGACAAAATTTTCCCCCGGCTTATCGGCTCATCGGGACCACAGCTGAGGGACATGGACATAGCCAGAATCACCTCTGGGCTCATACTATTGCACCATCCGGTAGGACTTCTGAGACTATTTCTGCAGACTGCTGCAATCGTCTGGACATTTGACATAGAGCGCTTGTGAGTAGCGGAGCCTCGCTGCCCGCATAAATTTCACTAATTTATACACTGTAAGCCGTATCTAACCATTTCTTATGCATTTTATCGTATTGTTATTAAATTGTTTACTTTTATCCATATTTAGATATACTGCACGATTATTATTGTATTTTCTCTTTGCATGCTATTGAGAATCTACTACAACGTATAGGTATACATTTTAAATAATTTTTCTTTTTCACATAAGGTCTAAAAGCAGGTTTCTCTGCCATTTTGCGCTCCACTTATTTTACACTTTTAATACTTTTCCACAAGTGTGTTTGTGTCTGGAATCACAACACTTAAGTGTGCAGCGGCATATCAATTTCCTTAGACATAATGTGGTATTACCAATAATAAATATGAAGGTGGTGTGTATATATATATATTATTTGGCCCCCAGCAGCACCCCCATTTATGCATGTTCAGGTGAGTGCAGCCAACCCCCCTTGTTTCATATATATATTTGGGAGTCTAGCCAACTCCCTGGTTTTGCACCCCTCCCTGTCACAGGTGCCTCATCCCAGGGCCCTATTTAGCTTTGTACTGCAGAGAGCCTCAGATGGAATTTTTTCCTCAAGTAAGTGGTTAATCTCATAAGAGCAGACATTAGGCTGTTAGTGTAGGACCTGCCAAGGATGGGGTACATTGATGTTGTGGCAGGCTTATGCAATGTATGATCATATAATGTAACTAAACCCCCATTATTTTTGCCTAGATTAGGTGTTTTAAAAAAAAACTAATAACATCTTTCAACATTGAAGTTGCTGTTTAGTGGATAGGTGAGTGCGCTGGATCTTGTGTATTGTATTATTTGGCCCACAGCAGCATCCCCATTTATGCATGTTCAGGTGAGTGCAGCCAACCCCCCCTTGTTTCATATATATATATATATATATATATATATATATATATATATATAAAAAATATATAAAAAACATTGTTCTGTTGTTCTGTGTTTTGACCC